GAAGCCCTCGCAGTTTGAAAGCAGCGGTTCCTCTCTGGCTGGCAAACCCTTTACTTAAAATGAGATGCTTTCTCCTTACTCTATTAAGGACAGGAAAAAAGAAAGTGTTAAAAATGCATCTTTGTCCAGTTTAAGAGACAGACCGACCTGAAGATGCTAGAGCTGGATGGCAGAGGGTGCCTCCAAGGGGCCGAGATTATTTTTACTTGAGATTATAATGAAATTCAGGGTTCTCCTGAGCTCTTGGGAGCCCAGTCTCCACCCATCTCCAGCGCACGACCCACAGGCTGAGAAATGTGGGTAGGAGAGGAGTTGAGAGGAGGTAAGAGGAGGCTGCTGAGTGCACACAGTTTGCTTTCCTGGCTCGGACTGCAACTCCTGGGGGGCTTTAAGGAAGTTTCTGAAAGGGAAATGGATAATTTAATTGCTGCATTAGAGGATCTGTGGCTGGTTTTGAGTGCAAGCTGCTCCAGAGCTTAATCACCTTGGTGCTCAGGGTTTTGTGCTTTCCCACCAAACGAAGGGCATACGCAGCACTGGCAGCCTTCTGAAATACATATTAAATATATTAAAACAAATTCTCTTCAGGTAACTCTGGCTGTTAAAGCTAAACTCATTCTTTTAGTTTTTTAGGATTAAAACCAGAGCAGAAACAGGGAAAAGGAATCCTGTCCCCCTGCCCCAATCCACGTCCTGCTCAGAGCCACATGGAAGATGGACAGTCAATCAGCTCTGGAGGATTTGAAGAGCTGCTAAAAGAACATACCGGGTTTATTAAGCATCTGGACTTGCGTCCATGCTGCAAGTCTGCCGAGGAATTGCAAAGCAAGTGCCCTACAGCAAGCAGAAAGCAGCAGCACATCGGTGCCGAGCACACCGCAAAGCGCAGCGGGATCCGAATCTTCTCGGGTGCACCTTATTACCATCTGTGTGGGCTGGATGTGTGGTTGCCTGAGCGTTTCGTTTCATTTGTTTCCCTTCCCTTTTATTCAGGTGGATGAAAATGCTGTCAAGGAACTGCAAAGCAAAGACTGAGGTTTCTCCTGTCGTCGCCTGTACGCTGTTTAGAAATCCTGAGCGCGGAGATGCCGAAAGGAGAAGCTGGAAGTCCAAAGAGTGAGCCAGATCTTCTCCTTAACGACTTCTCCTTTATTCCACCGGCAGAAAACTTTCCAAGATTAATGTGTGTGCAGGGGCAGCGCGGGAGCAATAGCCAAGTATCGCCACCTCACTCCAAGCCTAGGGCAGTCTTTCTACCGGTTCAGAGCAGGATTTAATCCAAATTCCTTTCCCTTTTCTTCCCTGTAAGCATGGAAATAGCACCATCACTTGCTGGTGAGGTACGAGCAGCACCCTGCTGGGGACTTCAGCGACCACAGTAAAGCGGTGGACAGGAGGGCTCTGACCCTTGCCACAAGGGGGTGGAGCTCAACTGCTGGCAGGGATTGGTGGTCCAGGCAGTTTTTAATTCCTTGAGTATATTGTGACTTTGCCAGATGCCACAAACATCTTGAAGTACAGACCTTGAAGGATGCACCACCTCTGTGTAAGTCCTGCGGGGAGGCGCTCAGAAGTTAAGCAGTGGTTGCGATGCTGCCGTTGGTGCTTGTAGAGCTACGCTCTCCAGGTTCTTCTGTCTGGGGAAGTTCTCCTGATGCAGTGCTGGAGATACAAACCCTTGCAGAAAGCAAGTTTTTAAGCATGTGTAAACAGGACTTCTCACTTACAACCTTTGGTTTTTGCTGTAATACTATTTAACCTGAGATGGGAACAATTTTTACAGCTCAACTCCAGCACAAAGGCACTTTAAATTAGAGGGTAATCTACCTACATCTGTTCCAGGGGCAACCCTGAACTACACACACAACTTTACGTGAAATTATATTTGCACTTTGTCACTTCAGGCTTGGTACAGGGCCAGAGTATTTTATCAGAGACTCCTGTGAAGCCAAGGAATCTTACTGATTTTATAGTAAATTATGCCATCACAAGAAATCTATACGTAAGTAAAAGTTTTAAAAAGCCAAATCTATTCTGTAGGCCTGTTCATCTCATTATCCATGAAAGATTCAAAGATCCAACACAGCTTCAAGCTTTGCTCTTGATTAACTCCCAACCCACCAGGGAAAACAAACCACATAACCCGCTTCGGAAGACCAAATCGCAACCAAGCAGCACAGTTTGCAAACCATGTTTCAAGGAACAGATGGATGAACTAAGGTCAGCCCACGCAGCAAGGAGGAAGCCCACTTCTCCTTTGGGTATTCTGCTAGCACAAAGCTGCACAGCTAAAGTCCCACCAAGCTGCTGGTGGGACTCAGGACTACGTTATGCCTCCAAGGGTTCTTGCAGCCCAGAACACACTACACACGTTGCTTTGCCTCATTAGGCTGCGATTTACCTCAAGAACCTTCTGGCTTCAGGTGCTTTGATCATGGATCGTGCTGACGCGCGGGTGCTGCTGTTGCGCCGCTCCTCGCAGTCAGATGGTGCCTGGACCCACTTCAATCGCAAGGCAGGGCGCCCAAATCTGCGTCTGTCCACTGCTGTTTCCCTTGACTTCACTCTGCACAGCTCTCGTGTGCTTTGGGACTTGAACACAGGGCAATTTCTTGCACCTCAAAGTTACTGGGACTTGCTTATTACATAAAGATACAGCGCTGCTTCAAGATCTGAGAGAATTGGATATTCCCCATCAAAAGACACTTACTTCCCCATAAGGAAATCAAATTCACAGCTCTGCAGTTTCTTTTGACACCAGCATTCGTAAAGGCTTGTGTTTCCTACCAACCCCACACGCCCACCTGCGTCTTCCCCTGGCTAACACATCCCACGCCTCAGCCACCGAGGCTGGAACGGAGCCTCACCTCTACTCCCCAAGTTCTTGTTGTCCTTCTCCACAGCAGGTCTCAGGATCTGTCACCGTTTGATGAAGCCCAGGTAAATTTTTATGTCTTTACTGTAGTAAATCATCCAGATAGACGAACACTACAGACTCCCAACGTGATTTAAACACCCAGTCGGGATGTGGACTTGGCACCAAGCTCTTCGGTGGGATCGATGCCTGGAGGCTGCAATGGGTTAAGCCTCCTATGAGAGATCCCAGGAGACTTGGGCTCTTTTTAGAAGTGGGATTTAGAAAAATGGGAAGAAAGCACAGCTATTATCAGACCAACACGGTCCTTCGGGAAGGACCCCAGCGAAGCTCGCGGTGCTCCAGCCGTTCCTTGGCACTTGGCCACGAGCACAACATCCCAAAGCAGACACAAGACAACTTCCTCCTCCTCAACCGAGGGGTACCGAACATCCCCCGCAGCGCACAAACCCCAGCGCACGGCTCGAAGGCGACACGCAGCAACCTGTGTATGTCAAAGTCCCCAAAAAAGCCAGTGGGCCTCCAACACAACAGATGTGCAGAGGTGAGCAGAGTAAAAAAAGCCATTCACTTCCACCAACAGAAACATATTTTTCTTTCACAAATAACACCCATTAGCAAGTCCAAGGAGAACAATCCCCACTCTTCAGCTCTGAAGGAGTTCACAGTTTTTTCAGCAGACACAATGCAAAGATTTTGCCGAATCCAGGCATTCAACAGGACTAATGTGAAAGATTATTTTGCAATTATCCAAGCAATTTTCTCTCCTCATTGTCCCTGGACCATAAGGGTTTTTAAATGTGAGCAGAAGGATTTATTCATCACAATAATAATAAAGCGAAATATTAAATCAATGAATCTCTTTGCATGAAGCATAAAGCTCACACTGCTATTAAGTTTAGTAGCGTCCTGTCACATAAACCACACACAGTTTGCGTACTTAAGTGCCATGTCCCTCTTTTATTTTTCCCTTCCCTAATTGGTAAAGCATTATCCTTCCATTTGTCCTCTAAAAACAACTGGATTCAGACAACACAGTGTTGTTTCTTGTTAGTGGATCTATGCCTGTGCTCTTGTTACAAGGGCATGGGGAAATTTATATTTAATATTGATTCTCAACAATGGCCAGTGCAGAAAGTTGTGCTGGGATGACAGAGAAGCCTTAAAGTAAATAAATACATACATGAGTAATAGTTCAGGGAGAATTAACTCCTTACAAGCAACACTGCCAATACACAGGCAAGTAGCTGGGCACGAAAAGGAACATTGTTTTTTGAAGGCGTTACATGTTCAAGTTTGGCTGGAGAAAAATAAAATCAACCCAAACCTAAACACAACTCAATTACGGCCTTTGGAGCGTGGAAACTGTCATGGTCACATTAGCCTTGGCTTATGTTTTTCCCCTGCTTTCTTCTTTGCCATTCCTTGCAATATAAAGTGATAAAAGCCTCTTAAGGCCCTTGCAGCAGGCATGGCTTCAGTGGGTCTCTCTTTGTGTTTTTATAAAAGATTTATCTGGGAAAGTGCAGAAACAGTCACTACTTAGGTATTTATAAGGTGCCAACCGTCCTCACAGCGTGACACTTCAAGAGCAAAGACTTTCAATAAGCAAGAATCTCTAGCGTTAAGCCTCGAGAGTCGTATTAGGCTCCATACAAGCAATTACTGTTTCATGAGTGCTAAACACCTGGCTCCTCTAAAGATCCCCTATTTTTACAGTTTAGCCTCTCCTGCATAACAGCCCCTCTATTTCATAACCCAGAGGTCGCCGAATGAATTCTCTCATGACAGCCTAAGTTCACGCAACCACAGAGCACAGCTGTCCACCTCTGAACATTGGCCCCCCTCTCAAAGTCGGTGGAGATAAAACAGGCATTTCTAGAGCAGGAGCCACGGCATTTCTCATGCAAACACCTAAAATGGGTCAGATGAGTCATACCTGTAATCTCCCTGTTTTTCTGCACCGATAAAGCATCCAGATCAGGTACAGACATCTACAGCCACGCGAGATGAATGCTGTCCTAGATGACTTAAGCTGAGCTGACACGCCACCGAAGCGCTACAGCCAACTTTAATACACAAATCCCACCAGGAAGCAAGACCATAGTAGCAACGTCTTTCTTACCATGATCGGGACGCCAATGTCTGGCCACAAGAGATCCTCAGAGGGAAGCTTGGGAGAGTTCCACACTACCACAACTTTATTTAAGTATGGGAGACCATTGAGCCTTTCTAGGGAGTTCATCAACACTTCCTCCCGCTCGTAAGTCAACATCACTACTGTGAACTGCTCCCGGGGGACGTTGCCACCCAAAGCAGCCTGGAACTCCTTCCCAGAGCCACCTGCTCCTCCACCAATTGGTCGAAATCCAGTCCCAGACCCCAAAAATTTTGCTTCTGATGGTAAAACAGGGTCAAAGGGAGTGTAGGGGAAGAGATGGAAAGGCCCCGGAGCAGAATTCCAATTCCTGTAGATGTCCATTGCAGTGAGGGTGAAATTGCGGAGATATTTGGGAGATGCATAGGGTGGTTCTGTTTCCACAGGCCCCAAGTCCAGGTCACCATTGTCTGCCATATTGGGGTCTGTACCAGCAGCTTTGCCAGACCGGTGGGGTATCTCCACGGCGGTTTCTTCTCGGATAGGAGCAGCCGGGATTTGGATTCGAGTCCTTATGATAGCTAAGACTGTGCTGAATACGTTGTCGGAGGTGGAGAAGTAGGTCTCCCACAAGAAGCGGCCCTGCCTCCTCATGGCAAGGAGATCGTTGTCAGAAATGCTTCTCAGAAGAAAGTGCACTTCTGTGATACGTGGCTTTGGTATAATTAAGGCTGCCTCGTTCCACCGGATCACGTCATTATAGGGTAGCTGAACTTGCTCTCCGAGAACCACCGGGATGGCTCCAACTTCCAGAGCCTCAAACAGTCTCATGGCACACCCGGCGGAGATCACTAAATGGGTGTCCCCTGGGGTGATTATCAGTGCAAAAGTAGATAGCTTCAGTAGCTCTAGTCTGTCATCCCTTTCTCCACACAGAGCCCACTCAGTGGGCAGACTCGCCTTAGGCTGGTTCTTACACGTGAACTCCACCAAAACAAAGTCCAACTTGCTGTCCTGAACAGCCTTCAAGGTGGTAATGATCCGATCATCATAGTCAGCTGGGGCATTGCCTTCTATTTCCTCTTCGAAAGAGCGAACCTCTTGCAAGCTAGATCTGAGAGACTCGATCTTCTCCCCCTGGAAACTAAACAGATATTTACGCTTGACTGGCACCTGGGGTGGGATTTCTAGGAAATTGGGTTCAGACATAGCGTGGACCAGAGGTGATACCACAATATCGAAGCCCGGTCGATACTGCACGTCGTAAAACGTGGACTGGGCAACCATGGCGCGCCCTGTGCTGATGTTGTAAATGAAGTTCTGAGTTTCTGATTTCCTTGACAAATTGATGATGAGATGGTTATGTCCATCAGTCCTCCAATACGGCAAAGAGTGCAACTGTTGCTCTAGTTCAGTAGGTTTTGGCATTACAGGCTCTTGCATTTCCCCCACTAAAATTATATACACACAAGCAATATTTGCATTTTCAGTAACATAAACATTAGTTCTGACGGTCGCCTCAAAGGCTTGTTTAATTAAAGGGTCTAAGGAACTACCAAAAGGGTAATCGTCACTGTTGTAGACATAGACTGGAAAGCCAGATGTCAACGGGCAGCGTGAGTAGTCAAAGCAGTTGTGCAGCCTGCAGTTCCGGTTGGATTTTGGCAGGGGGAAGGTCGCATCGTCTTTGTCTGGCAGCAGCCGGATGGGCAAGGAGAGCTTGGGCTGGTTCTGAGCCATCAGCTCTTTGTAGGAATGCTCCGTCTGGCTGATGACGTTCTTCAGCTGCAGCAGGTCCTGCTTGGCATTTTCAATGCTCTTTTTGCAGGCCTCGATCTTCAAGTTGAGCTTGGCGATCTCGCTGTTGAGCTCCTGCCGCTTGGCCTCCAGCTGGAGCAGCTCCTCGCTGACTGACTCGCGGATGCGGCACAGGTCTTGCACGTGCTTTACCTCGCACAGCTCATTGCCGGTCCGCGGGCCAAAGATGCGCTTGCCGGCATCATCCGCGTCATCGATGGTGGTCAGGTAGTAGTGGGCGATGAGGGGAAAGAAGACAAGGATAATGAAGAGGGTGAAACTAAGCCAGGTGAGTCGGATCCGACTGGACCATCTCAGCACCCACGGCTGGCCTCCGTTCCCCACTCCCCCATTGCGCAACATCGTATATCCAGTCATGAGTTCCAAAGTCGCGGCGCACCCAATCACGTTGGATCAGTAGCCATAACCAAAAGAGTTTTTACAGCGAGTCTCTTGGAAAAAAATGTTATTGTGCCTGCTTAACGAGTAGCCAATAGAAGGGGAATTTCATCTTCTTCTTGTGCTGACGGCTTGTCTACAGTCGTTTTGCTGCAGGCACAACTTTTGATCCCGTTAGACTCAATCATTGACCTTCTCACCCACCCCCCAGCCCACCCTTGGTCTGCGGGCAACCTTTGCTGGAACTGTCACAGCGTTGTCATGGTGATTCAAAGTCTCAACCGGCAGAAGAAAAACACAATGGGATCAGGCCAAACTCTACCGCTGCTCTTGACATCCTGCATTACCATCCAATGAATATGCAGAGGCACCAGACATTGTGGAGAAGGAGCCAGAAGAGACTCGTACGAATGTCACTCTCTCTCATCGCTGCTGCGCCGCTGATGCTCTGCCATACCTACAAGAGAACAATCACATACTCAAGACAACGCAAACAAAACGACCCCTTAGCGACCTAAGACGTCGCTAGTTTTTAAAAGCAACTGTCCTCTCTGCAAAAGAGCAACCTCTGTACGTGTCTAACACCTCCGGGGTTAATACCAGTAAACCTGAGAAAGCGATGGGATTCATTAGATGCAGACATATGGCTTTTTCCGGGCACTCTGCTTTTCATTAGGGTTGCATGCTTCAGTGGCCAGACCAGAAAAATCACAGCCCCTGGATCTGGTTTCCTATTTTGGCCTCTGCCACTGTCTTGCTGTGTAACTTTGCAGAAGCTGCTTAACATCTGCGAGCCCCTGTGTTCTCATGTACAAAACGGAGATATTAATGTACACCTGCTCTGTCTACCCGCCTTCTAATGGCATGTTGTGATCCTGGTGCACAGCGGTGTTGTGAATTTGTACTGCATAACTGAGTGTAACCACTATTGTTCTGGTCTAGCGACTAGAGCTGATGAGGAATTTTTAGATGGAGTGTTTTGCTTTCATTTCCTGCTGGAAAATTTTGATTCATTGCAAAAGAAAGTTTAAAGGGAACGTACTCGCGTCGGTTACGATTACCTCTGCTGGCTGGCTGCGTGCCACAGAGAATTTCTGGTCAAAACTGGAGAAGTCTAAACTGTGCATCAAAGCACAGAGGCTGAAGTTAGGATCTGTTGGGTACAGCACCACCCAAGCGGTATCAGCTTGCTTAGATACGCCTTTTTTGCTTGGAAAACTCTGCTGTGGCACTGAACGCTGACCTAGCACGGGCACAAAAATCAAGGACGTTGCAAACTCAGCTCTGAGTCTCTGGTCTATGCCAATAGATTTAAAACTAGGCCACGTGAATATGCTGCCACTAGAAACTCTCCCTTCCCTTTTATTAGCATCCTCCGAGGCGCCCAAGTTTCTGGGATATTCTTTCATATAGTGGACTTCCCACATCACTGATGAATATAGTGCTGGGCTTAGCGTTGACTCTTGCACAGCCTCAAGAGAAGCTTATTCATTTCCGCTTCAATTTTTAATTAGAGGAAAGCCATCTACCCTGGTGATGGTCATTTTTCACTAAATCTATTTAATACTCCTCTCATCTACTCATCGAGAATTAGCAGAAAGAAGGCGAGGAAGCAAATCTCAGCTGAAACAGAGATCTGGAAATGGGCCAAAGCAAAAACAGAAGTTCACCTTAAAGGAGCAGAGAGAAGTCAGGAATAATCTTCAGCATAGTACACACGTGCACGTCAGAAAAAATAAACGGAAGGTCTTATTTTAACCACGAAAAATCATAATGAAAGGGGAAACAAGTGGAGTAATAAAGCCGGGAGGATAAAAGGGCTAAAAAGTCAGCAAAAGGCTCAATCAGCTTTCTTGGATCTTGGCAGCACAGTCACTGCGGGCAGATGGGGGGGGGTTTGGCTCTGCTGGCAGGACATTGTAATACTTTTCTCTGTACACCAACTTGTGTTTGCCCGGGCTGGGAGAGAGGCTGGTGATGAATATAAATCCCCAGCGCTTCTGCGTGAGGCTGGCAGTCGGGCACAGGGAGCCCTGGTAATAGTAGCCCTCGCATGGTGCCTCGGGGACCGCTGCTACACAACAGAAGGATTTTAGCCTGCACCCATGTACAAACCAGGCGGCTGAAGGCAAAAATAGTAATAATTAAAAAAGCCTTTAGAGCCTATTTTTTAAATCTTTTTTTTTTCCTTTTTTAAGCTCTCTCTAGGAAACGAAGCTCATGCTGTCACTGTCCACATGCATGCACCAGTCGGTCAGTCCCTGCTCTTTGAACCTGGTCTCACAAGGGCTGCAAAGATCCTAGAATTGCTACGAGTTTTCTGCAAATACTTGGCCAGGAGATGAGAGCTGCCCTATTAACCCTTTTCCTGAGGGAAAAGCCAAAGCACAGGCTCACTTGAACACCAGTGACTTTAAAAACCAGCTTAACTTCAAGGCACACGTGGGAAAACAAGCTCTGCAGGTTTTTTTTTCATTTGGGGGTGCTATGGGGTAAGTGCAGTCAAACCCTGCAAGCTGATGAGACAACACAAAACCAAGGATCATAAATGTGGCCAAGAAAGAACGAGGAGGTGTGTGGACATGTTGCTCAGGGCTGGCCAGAGAAAACTGCAGCCCCACAGGCTGTAAAGGCAGTCCCAAAGGTTATCAGCTGAGGGTGCACCTAAATCTTGTCCCTTTGTAGTTGCTTTGCCCACCCATGTATGAGCCTTGAACAGTAATGAAATGGCAAACTGGATTCCCTAAAACGGCAACTGGGGTCCTTGAAAAGCTAAATCCGTCGCCGCACACGTGATCCTCTGCAGCTGTTCTGCCACCTAATCCTTCCAGTGGCTCCTCTGGTCCTTCCATTCAGTTGACAGAGAACAAACTTTATCCTCCTGACCTAAAAACGTGGGCTGTGAAGTAAAAATATCTGTATGCTCAGAAATCTGAAGCTGACAAACTGACTCTGCCACTAGCTTCAAAAAGACCACACGGGAAAGAGCAGAGCAGGCTGGGGAGGGATTTAAAATGCAACACGCGTGGCTTGGGATCAGTTAAAAGTATTGACTGTCAGTATGAAATATGTGCTGGCGATAAAGCAAGCACTTTAGACACACTCTCAGACTCTTCTTCATTACTAAGACTTTATTCCTCATCAACTTGATAGAGCCTGAGGTTGTAATACATTTTTATTAGGACTTCAAAAAAAAAAGCGAAGTAAAAATCCAATCTGTGGTTTTACCAAGAGAGACCTCAGTGTTGTATTTAAGAACAATAAGCAGCCCTGGGGAGAAAGGCTGCTGATTTCCATAGCTCCCAAAAAAGAAGTTTGGGAGCAGGAGAAATGAGTTAGTTGCTGGGCTCTCCAGCCAACTCCTTCCTCTCACTTCCAAGTACTATTTACTCCTTCAAACTGATCGAGCCCCACACTGAGAAACTCTTGTTGACATTATAATACAACGTGGCTGCCTGATAGACCTAATTACACACACACACACAGAAAAAGAGGCAGGAAGAGCTCTTGGGAAATCAGAAGCTCACTAATTACCAGAGCCTCTTCCCAAACACCAATCTGACCGACTTCTCAGGCACGACAGGTTTGCACGCTGCAGTTCCTCCTTCTCCCATGGCACAGGGCTGCGAGACGAAATCGCTGTTTGAGCACGTTGTCACATCTTAGTTCAAATCTCGGGCTGTGTTCCCAGCTTTCCTCAACTCCACAGTGGGCACTCCCCACTATGGGAACACGTGTGGTTCTCCCTCATTTTGCATTTCTAGTAGAAAGAGCCAGGCTGGTCTGATCTGTGGATGCTCGTGGAGTCGTTACTCTGCAAATGTTCAGTCACCAAGGTCCTTCTGCAAACACCTGAGCCCACCTAGTCCTCCCTGCTTACACCTCCTTTTGTCCATCTCCCTAAAAAATTAGGGAAATACTGTCCCTTTCTCAGCATATTTGTGAACAGAGCCTGGAAATTTTAAACTTACGGTCACCCGGAGCTTAGCACAGCAATAAATAACCATTAGGCAGAATATGGTGACACAGACTGCACTGAACTTTCCGGGAGGAAAATCCACAGGGATCCTGCACGCACTAAATTAGAGCTCCCAGACACTGTCTGTATGTACCCATACTTATCCTTACTCGCTTTCCTCATCAAATGATGGGTCTGTGGTGTTATAGCTGCTGTGTCACCTCCACAAACTTTCTGCTGTGCTGGCCCTCTCCGTGGAGAAGGAAGCACCATACCCACCTCTGTCATGCAGGCTCCCTCCTGATGAAAGGTGAAGGACGTCAGGGAGTCAGTGGCTCCTGTGTTTTATCTGTCCAGTCTTGAATAGACAGTTTCTATTGCCAAGTCTCTTTTTCACCAGCACTGAAAATGAAATCAAAGAAAGGAAAAAAAAGGTGGTTTTTTTTTTTTAAAAAAACCCCTACAGCATATTGCACCAGGGTTTCTGGTGAAATGGAAAAGAAATAAACATGCAATAGCCCTTCAGCAATGGTAACCTTCTACTTCCTAATGCTCTCAAAGGAAAGGATTACACCCCAAATCTCCAATCACTTTGGGAACAGGAGCAGTTGAACAAGGAGAATAAATCTATTAGGTGGGTGCTTTAAGGCACATTTGAGAGCAGATCTTTAAAAGGAGCAGATGGAAAACTCTCTCTGAAATGCTTCGTGTGCTATAGCCTTAGGGATCATCACGAGGGATTTGTACCATCTCAAGAGCTCACAGGTACAGAGAAATTCTCCTCGGCTAAGATCAACGCTGCTACACGCACAACCGGTAAAAGGTCTTGTAATCTGTAAATTCAGGGGATAAACTGCATCCCTGGCTTTAGGAAGCTTTTATCTAAATCAAGAAACATTCAGACCATTTGCAGCTCCATGAGAAGCCAAACCTGCTTCCAGCCACGCTCCCCCATCCATAGCTGGGTGTGTGTGGGGTAAAGGGGTCCTGGACAAACACTCCAAGAGAGCCCCTTCGTGTG